TAATATGTAGGTATAGCGGTAACGGTGATATAATTCTCATATCCAATCCAAAAAGATCTTTGTATACTTTGGACAGTCATCTGTTGTTTAAAGTGTTAGTAATATGCAGGGACTTTGTCTGTTCGTCTTATCCACGCATAATATTATACTGAATCACTAGCGTAAATACGAAACAGTTGCACAGAAAATATCGCTCCATAGTCCAAACAGCTTTCAAAGAAATGTATGCGTGTGCAACGGTGAGATGCCTTTGCGCAAGCTAAAAATAGCGAACCCGTTTTTACAACAATTTAATCCGGTTCTTGTTTTATAAAGACTTCTTACGTATTGTCAGCGTTAAATTTGTAAAGTTATAAAATCATTGTCGTAATAAGATCATAAGGCCGACTATCGTCAGATCAGCTCATAGTGACTATCATTCAATATAACTTTAACACTTCTTATCAACGCTGTATACGAACATGCCTAATTGGCGCCTGTCTTAGGTTTGTACGAATTGACATGTTTGGCTTTTAGCCATAGATTGGTTTAGATATTATCAGCGAGCTCGTGGAAAATAAGCTTGTTTTTGTCAATATTTTTCTGGCTTAAAATAATCTAACTTTACGAATTTTATCGCGTTTAATTTTAACTTTTTAATTCCCGACGTTGCGGATGCTTTACGGCACCCATGGTCACGGGGGAGGGGGGGGGCTGAGGGGTTTGACGTCTTGATATAATAGTCAGGCTACCTTCAGTTTCATCGGGACATCTCGGACCACATGTGACCATGAGTGCTGTAAAACACCCGAAACATCGGGAATTAAAAAGTTTAAATAAAATTCGTAAAATGAGTTTCATTTAATGTGTAGTGTTCGCGTAAATATAAGAAATCATTAAAAAAAACTTTTTTGCATAAGTGTCCGTCTAGGTTGGTGTATTTTTTCTTAATTATTATTTACATTTGTCAGTGGAACAGATTTGCTTTAATAAAGTTGGTGATGTTTTTAAATAAGAATAAAATTCTGGGCATGTTTTTTTTTATATTGACATTTGTTTGTCAACATTGATGATTTGATTTTATTCAGGCGTCCACAATTTATTCATAATAGAAAAATACTCTTTCTACTGGAGCATTTGTAAGAGGTATACGTAAAATATGTTCGATTAAAATGAAAAAAAAAATTATGTTTAAGATAGTTGGTGCGAAAGAGTTTGAATACTTCCATCCAACGAGTTTGTGCGGAAACTTTTAAATTATCCCATTCGGTTATTTTTTGGTCGGTCTCGTTCTCGCAACGTTCGTGTCTGACAAACTTCATAGTTTTAAATTTTTGCGCTCTTTCGGGAAACGGGACTATTTTGCGTCCCGCAGCTTTGTTTGGGGACGACAGCACAGGTGATCAGAAAAGGGACAGTGCCGTTCAAAACGGGACGTATGGTCACTTTATGTATACCCAGTACAATAAAAAATGTTGGGTTCCAGTTAAAACCAGTAACATTACAGAATTTGTGGCGTTCTTTGTCTGAAATTGCTTACAGGTGAGTATGGACTTGACTGATAGCCCATTTACCACATTATGTTAAAAATCTCTTCCGTCAGTGTATTTCGTGGAATAGTTACTTTGTTACTTGCACGAATTTACTTATTCTCTCCATAATTTTCCATCATCGGCATGAGATTTGCTTAGATCTGGTTACATAGTACAACTGACACATGCGGTTATCATATGTACGCTAATAGATAAGAAATTAAACGTTCTCGTCGATTGTGAGCACGAGATACGTGCGTGAAGCGGATTTGCACTCGACCTTATTAACGTGGCCTGCTATGCTGCAGGTTAGCGACGTTCAACAACAGTGGTGCCGGCAACGTGCTTTAAAAACATTTCTACAAACGCTACATTTCATGGCTCAGGTTTTATATTTAATTAACAACAAAACATTATTTTTAATTTTGTTTATCGCTACCAGAGCAGATAGTTTGTCCATTTGCGTCAATGCATTTAATAGCAATACAATATCTTTACTATACAGAGTACAAAGGTGATCCATTGATATTGACTTTACCTTGCAGACACATTGTCCAAACCGAGGGTCCTCGTGCACTATTCAAGGGTCTAGGGCCCAATTTGATTGGGGTGGCTCCATCTAGGGCAATATACTTCTGCACATACTCGCAGGCGAAGGCGATTTTAAATCAGCATATACCACCGGACACACCTGTTGTACATCTTTCCGCAGCCAGCGCTGCAGGTATAGCCAATTGATATATATATATTTTTTTTATCAATAGTAAAACAAAAAATGACAATTTGAAACTTAGTTCATTTCGTATTTCAAACAGCGTCATTGAATATATAATAAAAGATTGTTCGATGTTTCAGGATTCGTTTCGTGTACAATGACAAATCCAATTTGGTTTGTTAAGACGCGGCTACAGTTGGACGGGCAGAATATTACGGCATTGCAGTGCATTAAGAGGATATACGCCAAAACGGTACGATGACTGTAAACAAACAGATAACGCTCTCCGCAAACATGTATGTATTTAAATTTAGACAATGTAGGTGCTTAAGAAGTTTTATCAAGCTCGTTTATCATACATCGTACCTACGTACATATTAAACACTAGCGATCCGCTCCGGCTTTGCTTAGATTATAAAAGACGGTTTGTTTGATTAACTTTTCGTTATATAAAAAAAATTGTTCCTATCTGTTTGTGAAGTTTCAGTGAAATCGTTTCAGCCATTCCGAAGATTAACCCAGAGACAGACAAACAGACAAACAAAAAAAGGTTATTCTCGTTTTCATGGCATGCTTGCTAAACCGGCATCAGCTCAGTATAAGGCAGTTATTTTGATATTACAGATAGACACTTCAATTTTATTTATATGTATAGATAAATAAATAATTGTACTTTTGTATTTTTACTCTGGTATAGCTCGATTTTATGGTGCGCAGTAATTTTTTTCTAATTTCTATTATTTCCGGATACAACGTTAAAGTACGTATGCTAAAACACACGAAATTTACGTAAATCATATCAGTTACAATAAAATAAAAGTTGATGGTTTATTGGAAATATTAAGTCAAACGATTCTAGACTCACGGAAAAACTACAGTACATACAAAGAAATTCGCAGAGTAAGCTTGCATTAAATAGGTTTAGAATTAAGATTGATTTCAATTTTTCATAATAGTGGTAAGCTATAATACCATAAAGAGATCTTGAAATATATGTAAACCTTAAAGGCCCAAAATATGAAATCAATAGAATAGTTTTTAAAGTTTTACAACATGCTCAGTTACTTGGTAACGTGAAAACGAATTCGAACGCAGCATTTGTAAATGCGATTGTATGCAAAAGCAAGCAAAAAAACAATTGTATGCCGTAACAACTTGTTGTTCCACCTATTTCTAGCTCACGATGTTTATTATTTCAAATTATTTTGCGTCGTATTTTTATTTATTGCCATAGAATGTCACTATGATCGACCAAATATTAATTACGTACCAATTATTATTGCACAGAGACTTAAAGTATGGTTATGTAATCGAAATTGTTTCTGGAGTTAATATTAAATAATATATTTGATTAAAACTTTACTTTTATTAAGCCTTTCATTCATAGCGGGAAAGGCATCGAAACCAGTGTTAGTATTTTTTTTTCATCTTCATTTTATTATTAATTACTTCACTTAGATTTCTTAATTTTTGTACACATTAGTTATATGGTATTTTTATATAATATAATTTATGTACATGCTTATTTATTTTTGTGTTTGTATGAACTAATTGTGTTTAAAATAACTCTCCTTAAAATACTCTTGGATTACCTTTAAAAACAAAATACAAATAGCCTTACATAAGATACGGGTTATTGCACTTATAAAATATTGACTGTTCGTTGGCCATGGAAATATGAGACACGCGATTACTTTTAGTTTCACAGAGCACGACGCAGTAACCTTGCATTGACATCATACAAAGTATAGTATATTATGCAGTGGCAGGGCTACCGTAAGGCTAGGCGGAGCAGTGCCCCGGGCAGTGTTGCCAACTCGATTTTTTCAAATCAGTAGATTGATATAAAAAAAAACTCCGTAGAATTCCGTAGATGCTATTTCAAAATATCCATAGTTCTGCTGATTTCTAAAGAGGATCGAACATTTCTGTTTTTGTCATAGAATAGATCAATTTTTTGGAGAAATTCTTTCTGTCATGTAAAATTCTTGTTGTAAGTTCAATTGCAGTATAATATCAAATCAAGCTGCACATATAAGAAAAAAGACCATAAAAAATTGATTAAAATTTTAATTGTTTTCTTTTAAATAAATTGTTTTTAGTAAAAAACAAATAAAATAGTTAACATTTAAATGTTTTTTTTCTTAATATACCATAGAAGAAGAGAGAGAATTACAAAGTTGGCAAAGTTCACACTCATGATAAAAAAAGTGTTTTTTTTTGTTAAGTTTTTAAAAAAATCGTAAATTTCATCCTCAAATTCCGTAGTTCCGTAGATGATGACAAAATTCCGTAGATCTACGGAAAAATCCGTAGAGTTGGCAACGCTTGGCCCGGGGCCCCCAAGCTCAAAGGGCCCATTATTTTTCATTAGCTTTCGCCCGCGACTTCGTTCGTCTGGTATGGACCAACATTGAAAATTATCCTACGGGATCCTTTTATCGGGATTAAGTTTCCTATGTCTTACCCAGGTCGAGCTCTAGCTGTGTTCAAAATTTCATCGTAATCCATCCATTAGCTTTCGTGAAAGCGTAACAAAATTGACTCGAGAAAATTCAAGAGCGATGATTTATTATGACTTTCGAAGTGGTTTAACACAAAAACAGTGTGTTGACCGGATGATTTCTGCATTTGGTGATGAAGCCCCATCCAAAACCACAATTTATCGCTGGTTTGCTGAATTTCAACGTGGACGTGTCAAGCTCAGTGATGATCTCCGTCAAGGTCGTCCAAACTGCAGTCACCCAAGAAAACGTTGATGCTGTGCGTAAGCTGATTGAGGAAGATCGACATGTGACATACCGCGAAATTCAACTTTAGACATTGGCATGGGTCAAATACAAATAATCTTGCATGACCAATTAGGTGTAAAAAAGTTGTTTTCCCGATGGATACCGCATTCGCTCTGTGAAGAGCAAAAAGGGGCTCGCGTTACTTGGTGCGTCAGAACTCTCGAAAGATTCCACGCAGGATCCTCAAATGCTGTATACAACATCTTATCAGGTGACGAATCCTGGATATACGCGTACGAACCCGAAACAAAAAACCAGTCACGAGTTTAGGTGTTCGAAAATGAGTTAAAGCCAACAAAAATTATTCGTTCACGGAGTGTTGCAAAAAAATGGTGGCCACGTTTGTCTCCAAAACAGGCCATGTTACGACTATTCCTCTTGAGGGACAAAGAACGGTTAATGCAGAATGGTATGCTAGCATTTGTTTGCCACAGGTCGTTTCTAAACTCCGTAAAGAGAACTGCAACCGCCGCATCATCCTCCATCACGACAATGCGAGTTCTCACACCGCACACAGAACAAAAGAGTTTTTAGAGCAAGAAAACATAGAATTATTAGACCATCCGCCGTACAGCCCCGCCCTAAGCCCTAATGATTTCTATACTTTCCCTAAAATAAAGAATAAATTGCGTGGACAGAGATTTTCATCACCTGAAGAAGCTGTGGATGCCTACAAAACGGCCATTTTGGAGACCCCAACTTCCGAATGGAATAGTTGCTTCAATGATTGGTTCCATCGTATGGAGAAATGTGTCAAATTTCGCGGAGAATACTTCAAAAAGCAATAAATACATTTTTAAATAGTAATGTTGTGTCACTTCCTTGATTCCCGAAATTTTCAGTGCCGACCTCATATTATAACATTAATAGGAAGAATGACTAAATATTATCTGCTGCATTACACATATTACTTCGTAGTAAGTAGCTTTCCTCTATGTCTTGCAGTGGGCGATAAGGAACTGAAGATGAAGTGGTTTTGCACCTTTGAAGTATTTAGTTTAGTTTAAATAGAGCCCCAATCTCATTTTTGTGACCTAGGATGCATAGCTACTCCACTGATATTATGTATTACAGTTTAAAATTCTTTGAGCTTATTCAAAACGGTGAATAAACACCGTCAAGAGGAAACATTTGCGTAAGAGAAATAAGTAGGCCTCTGGAAAAGGCGGCGGATACTAAATACATACTAAGTACTTACTCGCACTGTTACCGTGCGTTCGAATCTATTCGCATCAATTTATCTTCTGTCTAACAGAGAGAATCTAGATATTGTAATGCATTATAATTTTAAGTCTCTTGTTTCTCATGTTCATCTAACTTCTTTCTGAGACTTATATTTTATCGGTCTGTCTTTCCTTTAATATCTGTCCATTTTAGTGGCATTATAGTTCATAATATGCTGTATTCATATCTGTATAAATTAATAACAATATTTTAAGATGGATATAATAGTAACTCATATTTAGAAAGCTTGATTCAATTCTAATACATCTGGATCGTGTAACCTTGGGAATAGTTTGTAACTTTTAAATATGTCACTGCATAATATCATGATCATGATTTAAAAATTAGATATTTGGTAGCGTTAACACTTGATTAAAAACAAATAACTAAGTTTCTGGATGAAATCCAATAGCGTCAATGGAGATACAAGTCGCACTCACGCTTTCATTTTCTTCCACCCACTACGCAAATCGTTGCTAAAATAATAATGCGTGGTTTTGTTTACAAGACGTGCCTCAGTTTGAAATTCGATTATTCAACATCGATCAATAATTGAACTTTGCTATTTTTATTTATTAACACGCAAAACAGAATAACAAAATTATTAAAAGAAACGAGAAATATTCAACTTTACATTCCAAATCACGCGTAACTATATTTCATCATCATCATCCGCTCTTTCGCGTAATTGTTATAGACTTTTCCACCTTTACTGTGTGGCCCTTACATACATCAAATCAAGGCGCGTGCAAAAAGCATTTTAATAAAAACAGTTTGTTATAAATTAGAATATTATGTAAAAGAAAAGAATATTTCTTAGATTTTGTTTACTTATATGTATATATTATTAAAAGATTGAAACTGTTAGAATGAAAACAGTCAAACTTTTTGAAGCAATTTCATAGAAATAAAACATATACATAAAACATATATCATAAAAACTTTATAAAGGTCAATTTTAAATAAAAACATTTTGACTTTGACAAACAATGCGCCTGTTTACATACATTTGTTGGGAGGGTTGCCCAAACACACCAGGCTGAAAACACGGGTTAGTGAGCTCGAAGTCGATATCCATTCTTGCCACATGATTTATCTGATTAGGTAGCCATAATTCCAATCTGGCATACTTCATAGTCGACTCTCACGACACCTACTAATGGGGTGATGCATTGCGTTACGCCGCGGCATGCCAGGAAGACCATAAGGACTGCGCATAAGCGTGTGACGATAAAGGCAAACTCTCCCTACTTACGAGGCGATGACGATTTCATCAAACTAATGTACGTTAAACCTTTCATTTACAGGGTGTAAGAGGTTTCTATAAAGGCATAACAGCTTCGTACATGGGTATTAGCGAAACAGTGGTCCACTTCGTGTTATATGAAGGTGTGAAAGCGAGACTGATCGCAGCCAGAAGTCTAGATGGAGTGCCAAGTGATCAGCGCTCACCTAGGGACTTCCTTGAATTCATGGGCGCCGGCGCCTTCTCGAAGACGGTGGCTTCTTGCATTGCTTATCCACACGGTAAGTAAGATAGTCACTCACCAAAATAAAAGAAAAATAAAAATAAAGTTAAAATTAGGTACCTATTGGTGGTTTTTTAAATATTTGAGTAAGATCATAGAAGCTTTATTAAGGAAGAAATGACAGCTTTCTATAAGTCTAATTTCGCTTTTAAAACTACCCTTACTAAAGTAATTTCTCATGTCATATCAAACACCCAGACTCGAAATAATTAAATAATGCATAACATAGAAATAGATACACTACTGAACCATGTGATATAATATTCCAACTTTATCTTTTGATAATCTAGAAAAATTAATGTGAAGAATAGTAACGATGTCATCTCATACTCATATCTTTCATTTATAACCCAAATTATTATCTGTTAAAAGTTACAAAAAGTGACGATCTGAGATATCAGGATGCTACGATATTATAAATAATTAATATACACATAAAAACAAATGTTACAGAAGTAGCAAGGACGCGACTGAGAGAGGAGGGAGATAAATACCGCAAATTCTGGCAGACCCTGCACACAGTTTGGATGGAGGAAGGATATCGCGGAGTTTATAGGTACGTTGTAAATTGATATAACTTCTTTCTGCATATTATTTGATATTATGGTTTTTAATTGTTGGTATGTTATCACGTATATAGTCTTATGGTTATCACCAAATACAATTTATATAGGTATATGTATCTATTATCTAATAATTTATCGCGGTTAGTTTGAGTAAAAACTATAATAAAAAGAAACTAAAACTAGTGACTAATTATCATACAGTCCTACTCCCCGCGGTATCGTGCCAAGAACGCTGGCTGCGTTTCCCCGCTGAATGGCTATACTCAGCCTTTGGGCGAGAAAAGAACCAGCCCTCTTATCACCAGCAGCAATGACCAGCCTCGTATCGAGTTCCTTTAGGAACTTCACCATACGTGGACCTCACGGACCGATAGTCTCTACAGCAAATGCACAAATATGTAGTCATCTCAGAAGCTCATATTTGCGCAACTTACTCAGTTCAGCTGCCTCTGATGCCGCCCCGGCTCTAAACGAGGTACTCCTGAGATTATTACTTATTTTTAAAATCTCCACGTTTCGGGTGCTCCACAGCACCCATCGCCAAGGAGAACTGAGGTGTTAGACGTCCGGATGTCATAGTTAATCCGGGTTACCCTCAGCTTTTGAATAGTCATTTACGGTCGGTCTACACAGAACAAGCTTACAGTTCGTGAAATCTTGTGGTGGTATGCTTGAATTTGGATTTAATTTTATTAATTATAGGGTCCAAAACAGGTAATCCCAGCCCCATCTTGTCCTATTGCAATTTACATGTTTTTATTATTTATTTCTATAGCCTCTCGATTCATCGTTGTCTATCAAATCTAATGTAGTGGTGAGGACGATTGAACATGTTCACACACTGCAAATAACCCGGAGCTCGTGGGTTACCATGGGTGATTTACAGCACCCGAAACGTAGTCAAAAAAATAAAATAAGTGTAGTATTCGAGTAAGAAATCTTTAAGATTAAGACTGTCAAACTGATCTTTCGCTTTGCGTCGCTAGCTAACTTCAAGTGCAATGCGAAGGACCTACAAAAATCAATCAAAAATATTTCTTTTTATTTAATTTGTTATTAATTGGTACATTATTACAATAGTGCATGCTGTTTGCTGTGATGGCGACGTGGTATAACTGCGTGCGTTCACACGTGAAACGTGTATATATACACGTATAATATAAATGTATAAGGGTGTATATTTAAAAGAAACATACATAGAACGATTATAGCTGTATAAAAATATTCTAATATTTCTTTCTCGCAGTGTTGTGGCGGAATATAAATAATAGAATCCACGACCCCATATCATCCCTTAGGTGTCGTAAAACGTCGACGCAGAAAAATGAACGGGAGATGGGCAGTAACATCTTTCTGATAGTAACCCAAAAATAATTAAAAAAACTGAGGTTCCTAAACCGCCTGTTAAACGTGACAACTTTGGCAAATATCCTCCCTATGAGGCAATCTATGGGGAAGGTCCATGTTCAGCTGGTGAACTTTTGATTATTGGCCGTGTAGTGGCGCTGTAAGAATATCCACTAGCCCGTATCCATCCCGTGGGTGTCGTAAGAGGCGACAGAGGGAAACAAATCAAGGAATGAGCAGCAACGTGTTTAACGACTAAAAATAGTCGGCATTATTAAATAATAATACGAGTATTATGTAAAGTCGTTCGAAAACTCCGATTGCGTAATTTACGCTTCGCGGCTAATTTACGTCACTATGGCACGACGACAGCGTCGCCACTAAGAATTAGAGCCAGATTCCTAGGCTACCCTGCAACTAAGAACTCGTCATAGATTTCATAGCACGCGAGCAAACTGAACCTCGCGGACGGTGGTGATGACATCTGAGAAATAAAACATTTCGCGAGGACATGTGAAGTCCGCTAACACGCATAAAAGCGGTGCGGCGAACTGACTACTTCTTAATAATAATTTTTTTACAAGAAAGTTGATACATGAGGAATGTCTTTCCCCATTTCTTCTCCGGACAGAGGAACCCCGTTTAGAACGTTAGTAGATTAAAAAACATGTTTGACAAACGTTTTTTATTTCTTACGTCGAAAACTAAAAGGTTTTATATCACTTAAATTCAAGACGAGGCAGCTGTTCCGACCTCGCCTTGAATAAAGGCCGCCCATCCTTAATAAACAGTAGCCATTGGCGCAGGATAGGAGTAATTTGCACAAGCACATGCTGTTTATTTCCTCCACTCCATTCGGCAGTCGGCATCGGCACGCCCGGAGAGAGAGCAGACTTTACGTGCTTTCCGAGACAGGGTGGTGGAATACCACCAACTTCCTGACTCTGGGCTACTACCGAGAATTTCTAAACAGAAAAACCTAGTAACTGATTTTGGCCCGACCCGGGACAACATTATCAACAGTCGGGTTTACAACCGCTAGATCAACAAGGCAGTCGCCTGCTCCATACTTAATAAATAAGGCTGCCTAGCTGTCGGACGTTCAGACTGCAACACAAAGGCATTAGAGATTTTTGTGTACAAAATATCACATACTCTTATACATCCGAATTAATGCTTTTGTGTCCCGATAAAGGCATTAAAAGAAAAAATTGTATTTTTATGTATCCTCTGTGTCACAATAATATTAAATAAAATATAATGATATTAAATTTATACGTGGTAAAGGCACGCTGCAGGTATATTATAGTTGTAGCTCGAATGGGTCGGCTCGACTGGGTTTTGTATGGTAAGTGTAGAGAACCGGTGATCCCTTTTACTGGAAACACGGCATTCCATCTAAGTCCTCACGGGTGACAACGCATCTGCATTTTGATTCTTTATAGAGGATAAATGTAGATGTCTATAGGCCACAACATCCACTTACCATCAGGTGGACTGTGTGCCCGTGTGTCACGCTTATTCTATAAAAAATATTAATATAGTAACATATTATTATTGTGTTCGTAAATGCTGTAACAGTGGCGGTGTAAGGATAACCACTACCCCGTATCATCCCGTGGGTGTCGTGTTAAGAGGCGGCAGAGGGAGACAGAAACGGGAATATGCAGCAGCATCTTCCTTATATCAACCAAAAATAATAAAAACACTGTGGTTCGAACCTATCTGTCAAGCATAACTGCAATTGACAATATCTCCCTGTGATGAAATCTATGGGTGTGAGCATCGTTAATTTTGATGGCTATAATGAATGATGAATCAATGAAAAATGATGCGATATCTCTATCGTACACATTTTGTAATAAAAAATAAACTTGTCTCCCTTTTACAGGGGCCTTGGTACACAACTGGTTCGTCAAATACCGAACACAGCAATCATGATGTCAACGTACGAGGCTGTTGTGTATCTACTGACAACACACTTTAATAGTTCCTTCTATGAGAACACTTAGTAACTAAGATTGTAGAACGCTGATCCCAAGGCATGGTAAACTTGCGGTTTACAAATGGCATACAATGTAGAAAGTCTAGAATTTGAGATGATAATGCCATTCTTTCATAATCGTCGTGAACTACGTAGAATATCAGACTAATGTATTTGTATCCTCGACACCTCCTTCACAACTGTTCCTACACAATACATTTTTCGAAGGTACAAAGTAGAGCTTGAAAGTATTATTCGAATGAAGTTAATCGCAACTTTTTTTTGAATGTTTTATTATGGTATTAAATGTTTATAGAATGGCAAATTTTATCAAAAACGCCCAAGTAGTATGGTGTTTCAATAATATCTATATATAATCTTTCAATAATCACGTACTGTAATAGTTTCATATATAAATACTAGTTTGAGTAAACTAATTCTTCCAACAAAAAAAATTGTCACGTCACTTTTTAACTACATGTTACAAATATACATTTAAAAAAAATTAACATATTGGTTGTATAAACACCAAAAAAATATAATTAATGTTTTATTGTGGAATCGTATTAATAATTTGGCTTCAACCCTGTTTTATTTCATTTTAAAATAATTATAATTAAGGATCATTTTTGAGATATACATCCCAAATAATTCTTCTACTTACGACTCCGAAACTGATGAAAACGCTTTAGTCATAGTCTTCTAGTCTTATGTAAGTAAAAATATTTGCTGACACAAAAAACAAATGAACCTGTGCTCCTTTGCAGATTATACGGGAGTCGTGGTTTTTCATACAATAAAAGAAAATATATATAGTATCTATTTCAGAATACTTAATTTCGTTCGTATGTCAAAAATAAATAAATAAAAATAAAAAGGTACAAAATTATGATATTAATTTAAAACATTTGCAACATCATGTGTAACTTAAAACCATATGGTAGAGTTAGCTGTATCCTTTATTGTATGGAACTTGACGCACCTGTATACGACCAAAATCTACCTTATTTTTATATTTTTATAATGATGTACATGAGACATGTGATTGACTGTATTATTTTTAAGGTAAAAGTGTTTTAACCTTTTACATCACATATCTCTCGCAAATAGCAGATATAACATTAAGAGTGGGTCTTCATGTAACTCGTGACCATACACGAAATATTCGTGTAACTAACACACATTTCTTTATTATCGTTACTTGTGTATTTTGATTTATTTTTGTAACAATTATGTTCAGCAGGAAGGAACCTTCTGTGAATCATCCATTTCTGAACAGAAAAATCACTTGATTTAGCCTGTCTGTATTTATTTTAAAATTCCATGTTTACGACATTTTACTCTTCATTGTTCTTTGTGGTGTATTGTATGGTGAAGTCCGCAGTCCTGTAGCACAGATATAAAATATAAGCTGTGATATAGTGCTTTGTAAATATTAGTTCCATTTTTGTAATCACTTAAGACCTAGATCTAGAGTATAATTTGAGCTTCTTTATGCCCAAGATGCGCCCGTTTAGATTACTTGGGTTTGTTTGTTATTATTCTTATATTGTTTAGAAATATGTTTCATTTACATGTTTAAGCTAATATACTAAATTTTATAACATCTCTTAGTAGCTAATTTGATAGTAGAGCAAAAGTGAGTCGTCCAGTTTCTAGTGATAAGCATGGATTCTATGCAGCTCTATCAATGATCATGAGATACAGATATTTTATTGAAAAATATTTTTAAAGGATAGATTTTGATGTATATCAGACTGAGTATAAGATACTATTAATTTTGTTTAGTTAAATAAAAGATTATTCAAAATTGTGTTTTTTTAATGGTAAATACCTACTCCTCATATTACATTAACAAGAATAAGAACAAAAGTAACTGACATAGCCCAGTGAAACTTCTGTGGAGTCGATAATCTGAAGGCGGCCACATAGCTCGAAAATCATTACCGTGAGGAAGAAAGGTTTTCGAGTGGCAGCCTATATGTTTTTCCAGCAACGCAAATTTTAACAATTCGTTGCGGTGAAAATTTTAGAGCACCTCATTTTTAAAGTTGGCACCTAATTAGCACCAAAAAAGCCCCTAATTTGCTGGAGAGACACAGCTGTGAGACGCGCACTGATTTTCTGGCGGCGTGCTGGTGCATTATAATACCCATTATGAAAGAAGAAAAATAAACAAAACAAAGAGAGAAAAATGTTAGTCTCGCTAAAAATCAAAAACAGCTCGACCGATTTTGATAAATTTTTTTGTGTGTGTTTGAATGGGTCCCTAGATGGTTTAGATTCACATTTGGACCCGGCAGAACGCTAGTAATAAAAAAGTATTATAAAAGTTGAAGCAAACCTTTCGTTTTAATGCGTTTAAATATCGAAAACAAAGGATTCTGGCTATTCCGTATTTTTATGTTCGTTAAATTTTTTGCCTTATATCTAATAACATTGGTATGACCGGACAGTTTTTATTACCTACGAGGGGCACACTGAAATGATCGGGAATAAGAAAAACCACATGCACGGTATAGCTAAATTGTATTTTATTGTTTTTCGAAGTATTCTCCGTTCAACTTAATGCACTTTTCCATTCGTGCAAACCAATCATTAAAACAGTAATTCCAGTCTGAAGTTGATGTTGACAAAATGGCTGAATGGTACGCTTCCACAGCTGCTTCGGGGTCTTCAAACCGTTGACCGCGTAATAAATCTTTCATTCTATGGAATGTAAAGAAATCGTTTGGGCTCAGGTCAGGACTGTTCGGAGGATGGCTCATCAGCTCAACGTTTTCATGCTTCAAAAACTCATTTGTCTTCCGAGCCGTATGGGAGCTCGCATTATCGTGATGTAAGATGATGCGACGTTTCGGGTTATTTTTTCGGAGTTCGGCTATCATTTCTGGCAAACAAACCGTGATATACTACCACTCAGCGGTAACCGTTCTGCGTTCCTATAAAGGAATTGTAGCAACATGTCCCTTTTTCATGACAAACGTAGCGACCATTTTCTTTGAAACGCTGCGGGAGCGAACCACTTTCGTTGGTTTGACCTCGTCTTCGAAGACCCAAACTGCTGACTGATGTTTTCTTTCAGGTTCGTATGAATAAATCTGTGATTCGTCACCTGAGACGATATTATAAACGGCATTTGACTTCTCTCCGTTTAAGCGTTGCAGAGTATTCCGGCACCAATCTAGCCACCTTTTGCTCTTCGGGCAAACTGTGGGGAACCCAGCGGGAAGCTTTCTTACACACAGCCCATTATGTTATATCGACTGAATTGCAGTCATTCCGATACTGATAACAGCCCGAATCTGCTCGTATTTCACATGACGGTCATCTAATATAATAGTTCGCTCAGCTGCGATGTTTTCAGGCGTGACCGCTGTTCTTGGTCGACCTGCAGAAGAAACAGTGCTGAGCGACACACGACCGCATCGGAACTCGGCATACCAGCGGTATATTGTCGTTTGACTCGGTACTTCAACATCATAAATCGAAATAAGTTCGCTGAGACATTTATCTTGAGAGAAGCTGCAACGAAAATTGTGATAAATTATGGCACGGAAATGTTCACGCGTGAGCTCCATTTCTGTTAACGACGTGTCAAATTTAAACCAACATAGTTTTTGTTTTTAAACATTTTTTTTAATTGTTTGAATGTCATTAAGATTCTAAGAGGCCAGTATTCAAATACTAAAAAAGGTTTTATTGTAACTCAATCCGAAATATTCTATTCCCGATCATTTCAGTGTGCCCCAAAAAAAGGGTAATGTTTTTCCAGAGTATATAGTAATATTGTGTACAAAACGACTATATTCATTATATTATCTGGCGCGTGCATAGATTGCTGGCGTGACATGCAGGAAAGAACACTATAACTGGCCGAGTGAGAAGCTGCTAGTAATGAGGACTACACCCGCGGTGCCCAACCTCTGTCTGAAATTGCACATACTGAATCCGATTTTCATCTTAATTGATCTCGGAATTCGGGAAATAAAAATTGCATCCCGTCAGCACTTGTTGTGCCATAACTTAACTTGGATGGGCTTTATTTTCTAAAAATATTAATAGGCATACCACACTTAAAATTATTTTATAAGATCGAAGTTTGAGTGTGGTCAGTGGCGGATTTTTTGGATAAAGGCAATCTAGGCACGTGCCTAGGGGCACAAGGTTACAAAGGGGCACGCGAAGACATTTTTAAACGAATGAAAAGTAAATGCGGTTAACCTGATGACATACGCCTCAACAGGGGAGTTGCAGGTGCGTAGCCGGCCTTTTAGAAAATAGTAGACTCTTTTTCTTAAAGCTCCCTAAGTCGTATCGGTCCTGGTGACCGTAAATTGTACAGTATGGTCGTGCGAGATGATTAGGATGGAATTTCGAAAGATTCATAGAGATGCAAGGTCTCTTCGCAAGACAAGTGGATCAAGCCGATCGCAAAGAACTTGGTCGTCGATGATTCGGGCCTCTCTTCGTTGCATACGGCCAAGTGGAAGGAGCTGATACTGGGGTACCCCGGCCCCGAGATGAGAAGAGTATTTCATATGAGAACGAACCTGCGCTTTGTAAAGTTGCGAGCGGTGAGCCAGCATGAAATACCGTCTCCCTTCCTCCTAGCCTTACATTCCAAGTAACTGCAGAATGTACGTTACTCGAAATGTCGACGCCAAGCATTCCTATGCTGACTGAGGCAACGATGAGAGTATCATGAAGTTGAGAAGCTACGACACAGTGGTTATTTTTGTGGTAACCGTGCAAACCTGTGTCTTTTGTGGGTTAAACTGAACTAGATTTAGAACGACTCGACTTCAGATACAAGTTTGGTCCGGCACTCGACGTGATTCCGAGAAATATTAGCACGGCCGGTGTATAAAGCATCGACAATGCTGTCTTCTGCATAAGAATGATTGTTACTAATGTGCAACACATCATTGATATACAGAAGGAACAGGGTAAGCGATAGCATGCAGCCTTGTAGAACACCAGCATTCACAGGCTTGGTGTCGGAGCATGCGCCGTAATCTGTAAGAAGACTGGGTCACCACCCAGTTGCATAATTTCTCGGGAAGCCCATAAGATGGAATCGTCGAAAGAAGCACTTTGTGCCAAATCCGATCGAAGGCCATCGCTATGTCCAAATTAACCGTCAGGACCTTCCACTTGGTCTCAGCTGCCACCGCCCATCGGTGAGCCAGGTAAACAAGCTCATCAGCGGCCTCGACGGAAACCGTATTGACGGTCACTAATCAGTTGATGCTCTTCAAGGTATTTTTATTTAACACCTCTTTCATGTTCTTCCACTGAACTATATTATAACAAAACATACCTTATTTTCAAAATACGTAGTTATCATTTATAATATATAGCCGCCAGTGGGGCGCCGATGTGGTGCTAGCCTAGGATGCTGTCGATATTTAATCCGCCTCGTGAGTATGGTGGCCTCATCTTAGTTCCTTAACTTAGATTATACTTAATTAGAAGTGTATTCAACATTTTGCACTCGTCATTAGCCAATATATTTTCATTAATTGATGCATCTTCGTCGCCCCGACGCTTAAGAATGGGCACCCATGGCTTTTTCTGCCACAAGGGTAACCCCATTTAAGAATGAGACGAAATATTTCACAGATTTAATAGCGACGAAGTAAATTTGTTAAGAAAATATAAGGGTTAATGTTTCTTTAATATTAGTTATATTTTATATTAATTAGATTTGAATTTAAAAAACCAAACTACTGATATTAAGTAGAAAAATTTAAAAAAAGCACTGAGGCATTGTTTTGTGTGTTGTAATACTTTAAAAACTGTAATAAACTAAAATTTATTTAAATCGAACTTCTCAATTAAATGAGATTGTGTAACAAATAACAACATCACCTCAGTCCCCAATCAGCGACATCTAGTGAGCGGAAAATTAAAGAGTTATCATTGCTCGCTCATAAAGTCAAGAATTGTCACGATTTGATTTTAAATTTTGCTGTAAAGTTCTACTGAAGAAGGTACTAGGTACATGACACACATTTTGTACCACGTGCCATTACCATTTTTATAATACGAGTAAGTCTGAGAACTTTTATGCGTTAGGATTATTGCCTCTTTGTGACGTTGTTTTTGCTCTAACCAGTTTTTGTATTTTCTCTTAGAATGAAGCGTTTTGCTGTTGTAAAAGCTATCCAATACTACTACTATTTGGACTCGGGTTTTAAGTCATCACCAGACCAAATTTCATCAAAATGCGTTCACTAGTTTAAACGTGACAACTACTCACCTACATGTACAGACAGACAGACGACAAAAATTTCACTATTGATGTTTTTACTTTTGATAACTATCTTACACTTCATCAGAACGTATATTACAATTTAAAAAATATACCATGTACTACAGACATGGCCTTGTTACAGTTATACATGTGTATAAATATTTTTATTCTAAAATAGCGATCCGCCCCGGCTTCTCATGGGCGATTTCTAGATCTCGACAACAGCGCCCCCTACCGGGTCCAATTGTGAATTTAAACCTTCCTGAAACCCACTCAAACACACACAAAAATTTTCATCAGAATCGGTCGAGCAAGTTTCGAATTTTAGCGAGATTAACGGGTAGCAATTGATTAATTTTATATATAGAGATTACACGCAAAAGCCGCGTCTCCGCCAATGTTTTGTGCAAGCACAGGTGCGCTCTCTACTCCCTCACTGTCCGATAAACGGCAATCCGCCATGATCTGCGAGACATCAGGTGCAGGAACAGCGGCTTTACGTGCTTTCCGAGGCACGGGGATGGAACACAACAAATTTTCTGACTCCGAGCTGCCACAACATGAAAAAAGGTAATATAAAGAAAGTGAATACAGCTAGGGCGTACCCCAGAAGCGACGTGAATGAGAGAAATGCGAAGTATGCGGATAATGAAGAATATGCTAGGGCGTTCCCCGTAAGCGACGAATATGACAAGAACGAAAAGTCGCATATTTTAATACAATCTAAAATAAGATTAGCTACGTGGAATTTGGGCACACTAACAGGAAAGGGTCAAGAGCTGGCGAAAGTATTACAGGCACGAAAAATTAACATATGCTGCCTACAAGAGACCAAGTGGAAGGGGTCGAAGTCACGAGATCCGGGACTCGGATACCAGCTCTTGTATTGTGGCAATACTAGCATGCGAAACGGAGTTGCCATCGTCTTGGATGAAAACCTCAAACAACGTATTATTTAAGATAGATAGAAGGAACGATCGACTTATAGCAGTGAAATTGGCTATGGATAACCAACCCCCCTTGAACATAATCTCGGCATACGCACCACAGACCGGATGTGGCGAAAGTGAGAAAGAAGCTTTCTGGGATGAGTTTGATGACTTACTAATCGCAATGGCCCCCGAGGAACTAAGATATATTGGAGGAGACCTGAACGGCCATGTTGGAGCCAGTAACACGACTTACAAGGAGAAACAAGGAAAGTTTGGTTATGGCACACTTAACAAAGACGGAGAACAAATAGTGGAATTCTGCGCGCGACATCACCTGGCAGTAGTTAATACCTTCTTTAATAAAAATTCGGAACACCTAGTCACATATAAAAGCGGGAACAAGCAATCTCAAATTGACTATATCCTCACAAACAGAGATTTACTAAGAACTTTCAGAGACTGCAAGGTAATACCGGGCGAATCTTTGACCTCACAGCACAGAATTTTGGTCGCCTGTATATCGCTAATCAAGCCTATAAAATACACCACGGTCAAAATCCCCAAAATTAAGTGGCACCTGTTAAACACAGAAAAAGGAGACAAATTATTAGAGGAGATACGGGACATACTAATTGAAGATATGAAAAATGGCCCTAACATTTCTGCGGAGAATACGTGGTCTAAATTTGATAAGCTGTGCAGAAATTCAGCTGAGAAAAAATTTAGGAATATAGAGAGGAAAGCTGCATAATAACAAAGATCCTTCATGGTGGAATGAAGAAGTAAAAGGCGCATTAAGGAACAAGAAAGAATGCTTCAAACAATGGCAGAGCTCATGTTTAGACGACGACCGCATACTATATAAAACGGCAAAGTGGCGAAACAAAGAAATGACTCCAGGGAAAAGTTCTACAAACTTGAAAATGCAAACAATGATAGAGATATATTTAAGCTCGCCAAACAACGCCATAAAAACGGTCTAGATGTTAAAATTAATAAATACATTAAAGACGAAAATGGCCATTTACTAATAGAAGATAACAAAATTAATGAGCGATGGTGCCAATATTACCAAAAACTACTGAACGAAGAATTCCCGAGTCAACCATTTAATACAACCCCTAGTGTAGCTGGGCCATTGAACAAAATAGGTGAAGAGAGAACTCTGAAAAAGATAAAAAACCACAAAGCGGTTGGACCGGATAGTATACCCGCTGATCTGTGGAAGCTGCTAGGGCCTATTGCTGTACAGTGGCTAACGAAGCTCTTTAATCAAATCTTAACCTCCATGAAGACCCCAAAGTCATGGCGTCATAGTTATCTGGTACCTTTCTACAAGAACAAGAGACAAATGTGCGATTCAACTGCAAGCGACACTCGAGCAATGGAGACATGCTCTCGAAAACAATGGCCTCCATATCAGCAGGAGCAAGACCGAGTTTCTGAGATGCAGTTTTAGTGAACAATATATGCCTAACATAAGTGTCTCCATCAACGGCCAGACACTGACCTGCGTCAATAAATTTAAATAACTCGGCTAAGTGCTAACAGCGGATGTCAACATTAACGCAGACGTCACTCATAGAATTAATGCAGCGTGGCTAAGGTGGAGAACCCTATCAGGAATACTTTGCGATAGCAGGATGCCAATACAACTGAAAGGCAAGATTTACGAAACTGCTGTAAGACCTGCCATGTTATATGGTGCCAAATGCTGGGCGGCCAAGAAGATCCACGAAAAAAAGATGCACACAAATGAAATGAAAATGCTACAATGGTCAGCAGGCGTAACGAGACTTGATAAAGTGCGCAATAAGTACATCAGAGGTTCCTTTAAAGTTGCGCCCATTGTAGATAAGATGGTCGAGAGTCGTATGCGATGGTATGGGCATGTAATGAGGCGGGAAGAAGAACACCCATTGAGGAAGGCCTCTGCAATTCCAGAGAAAAAGAGAGGCAGGGGATGCCTGTTAGCCACGTGGTGGACAACCGTCTCCAAAGATCTGGAATGAGCACAGCTTGAAATACAGACAACTCAAGATAGGAAATCTTGGCGCATAAAATCGAGGAGAGCCGACCCCAAATAAAGGGACAAGGCAAGGAAGAAGAAGAAGATTATAGTTCTTGAGTTAATAATATCTGAACTCTAAATAGTGCCATTTTATCAGTCACTGATCAAAAACCAAGGTCAATTCTAGAAACTTGAAATTTGGTATATAGATAAATAATTATTCTACACACAGTTACAGCCTATTTAAGTCCACTGCTGAACATACGACGGATATTTGCCATAGTTGCCACACTTGGCAAGCAGGATGGCAACTGCAGTTTTTTATTTTTAGTCATTATTAGCTTTTTCATTCTCTTATTAATTCCAAAATAAGGAAAACATTAAATAATTTCATTAAAAACTATTTTCGCTTTTAATGATTACAACAATGTGCAAAATATTGCGGCAGCACAACAGAACATTCCTTCTCCTAAAATCCACACAGAAATGACATGTGGCCTCTGCTCAGCAGTCGGACATATATATGCTGAAACTACTATGAGCAGAATGTTAAATGACACCCAGTAAATTTCACAATATGCAAGCAGCATAGGTTTGATCCCTGTCAGCAGTACCAATGAAATAGTTAATTTCAATGTTTAAGTGCTGATTTACCATGTTTGGTGGTTAAGGAAAACATCATGAAAGAACTTGCATATCTAAGAAATAAAACAAAATCTGAAAACATGTGAAGTGTGTAGGTAACACATTGGGGCAGCAAGGCGGACACATCCTAACCTACCCTAGAGGAAAACTGTACCGTTGGACAAATATAGGCTGTAACTCAAATAAATAATAATAGCTAATGAAAACAAAGTATGCACAATTTAATTATTTATTAAAATATTTTTTTTGTTTTAACAGCTTAATCATAGGTGCCTCATCAATTAAAATTTAAAACAAATACTCCCTTATAAATTTAAAATAAGTGTTCTTTATTAAGTCCCTTGGACTGTTTTTCCTTGGAAATTTTAGAATTACAGACACAACTCTTCTACAGATTTATAATATGTATAGATGATTAAGATACCTGTTGCTACGTGGTAATAGTTGTAAAGATAGGATAACACATTAGTCACGAAAATAATGATATTTCATGTCGAGATGTTGTGGGGATCTAGTCGTATTTGGTTGTTTGACAACACTAAGTATTCAAAGGATACCCATTCTATAAATTTATTAAGAGCTGAAACACTAATATGGCAATTTATGGTGTGTATTTTATATTGACCATATTACAAAATCAATAACAAAACAGCTTAATTGCATGTGCATCAATCAGTCTCAATATTGCTCTAAGTCACTATATAACATCACATAAATTTTAGCTAAGAATAGGTTTTAACAATGTTCTTATTGAAAAATTTGAAATTAAAACCCACATATGTGTTGATACAGCATTAGGCATTTCACTTGGATAACGCAGAATGGTTGTTAATGGGAAAAGATCACCCTTTAAAGCCACTATTGGCTCCCGTCTAAACCAAATTACAGAGACAACAATAATTAAAGCAACTAGAACTTGTAACACTATATGCACTGAGCCAATTATGGCCAAACCCTTACTCATCCGAGACGAACGATTTTCTTTAATCTGAGATTCTAGTTTATTAATTTTGCGTTGAAGTTTTGAATATGCTGCAAATTCATCTTTCATTGATATATTTTTCTGGACCTCTTTAAGTTTCATCACTTCCCTCCAAGCAGAACGTTCCTCTTTCGATGCTCCAGAGAAACATGCAACAATCTGTTAAAGAGAAGAGTTTTTTAGAATAATATAAAGGTAAAACTAATATAAAGGAAAAAGAGTAAACATTCATTCAAGAAAATGCGATTCTACTCATCATTATTAAATTGTCTATTTGGATGTAATCCGTTTGTATCGTAAAGGAAATTAAAAATTAAAAGATATTTACAGGTTTCACTAATATAGGCACTAAGGCACTGATAGTGCATAAAAAGACGAAATAAACAAGAAGGAATCCGTTTAAAATTTCCAACATCGTGTTCACATTTAAAACGTATGCGTGATGATTTTTACTTTATTGAAGATTTAATAAATTTTATTGTGGTATTGTACTATTCTAGGTTGTATTGTAAAAATCATACATAACAAATAGTGATGCGTCAACTCGAGTAACTAACTCGAGTTAACTCGAGTTGGTTCTCCCTAACTCGAGTTTGGACTGCTGTACATTGATGGACGGGTCAAGTAAACAAGCAAAAGAGTAAAAGCGCGATTCGTTCGTTGTGTGCGGGCTTTGTGTTTTAAAGAGTATTTAGCTAAAACCAAATAATTTGTTATTTAGAATTTGTTATTTAAGTTATGTAATTTTTTTTATAATTTCGGTTAATTATGATTAATATAGTTATGTAACTCGCAGACCTATTATTGTAATACCCGAAAAGTTGTAAGATCATCATATTTTAAATTAACGCCAAATGTAACACTTAACTTAGAATAAATATTATGAATTTGAAATTGAATTTATTTAAGGATATTTTGAGTGTGATAATTAAACTATTAATAGCTTATGTACCTACATCTTAAAGCTAGACTAATATTGTATCGTGAAGACTGTTATATAGCTAGTTTTGTCGTTAAATACATGTAACTTACTATCACTAAGATTAAAACCAAGAATACATAAGTATGTGATACATACTACTAAATATACCTTTTGATATCCAACATAATAAGTTTGGTAATTATAATTATACCAACCCACCAGAGCTAGATAGAAAAACAAATTTATAAAAAAGTAATTTGTGACAATTTCTTTACTCTGTTTCGTACTGCTAACTCGAGTTTAAACTCGAGTTGCGTGAATTTCAACTCGAGTTGTAATTTTTCCGAGTTGGCACATCTATAATATAACATAAAGATATTATAGTGATGGGTCAACTCGAGTTACTAACACTAACTCGAGTTAAGCGCAAGCGCAACTCGAGTTAACTCGAGCTACGCTCGAGTCGGATTTCCCTAAAGGTGGCTACTGACCTGCCTGCCGCAGGGGCAATCTAGCGTGTAGGAGTGGGGATGACCCTTAATTGCCTCCTTAATTGTGATGTGTGTAGGCAAGCAGGGGCAATTTTTTAAGTCGGCCCTGCGACAGGGCGGCAGGAGCGCAGTGTTGCAGAAGTTCCCGATTTATCGGGAGATCTACTGATTTTAATTAGTATCTCCCGATATCCCGATTTAGCGAACGTATCTCCCGATTTTTTTACATTTTCAACTAATGTAAAATAATAATCATAAATAAAATTGAAAAGTAATAATCAAAATACTAAAATAAACTTTTAACACAAAATCTATGTACGGGGACTTCCCGAAATTGCTCGCACCACGTCCTATGGGACCTATACCTATAACCTTATTAGGTTTTTATCTTCGCGGTATGGTTAAAGCATATTGCACTGATACATCTTAAAATGGAGTTCATTATTGTCTGGTAAGTGTACGGGGGAGATCCCTAAAGATTACTTTGTTCGGGTTGTTTTACGAATTAGGTAGCTTAAGCCATGTATACGAGTATAGTGTATATAGTGTTGTTCGATCATAGAATTACATTCACTAATTACTAGCCTTCTTCTGTTTTGTTGAGAACTGTTGTGCTTTATGTCCAAATTTGTTAGGTAGCATTAGTTATCAAAAAATTAATTTAGAATGGCGTTCGCTTCTAAATACGAAAGAAATTAAATCACTCAGTGACGAAACAGAAGAATTTTGGAGAAGCGTGAGTAGCAAAAATATATAATCATAAAATTTTAGTTTAAATTATAAAGACATTATTTTGATCGCAAAAAAATGAAACGAAAAAGAACGACATCTAAAAGAACGTTTTATGATACATTTCTAAACCCTTGGATGTAAATAAAAATCTCCCGATTTCTCCAAGTTTTTAGCTGGCAAATCTACCGATTTTTTATTTTTCACTTTTGCAACACTGCAGGAGCGCAAGACCTTCCTTGCTCCCTAGATCGGCCCTGCCGCTGCTGCGTGTGTAGCGCAATTGGGCCAATTTCGTTCAGTAAAGTTCATTGCGACTTTCGCGAGGAGCACACGTATGAGTACAAGTCAGAACCGCAGAAAGAACGTTATTTGAACGTTTTAACTTACAAGTAACATTACTGGGATTTGTTACCTAACTTATCATACGGGCTAGTATGGGAAAGTAAATATTCCAAAAATATTAAAATTGCTGGAATATAAATAAAATGTCATTAAATAAATATTTAAAGAAAAATACAAATTTTAGTAAATACATTTTATTAAAACCATCATTAGAAAACTATCCTGGCTATTTGTAACACTAGTTAAATTATAGTTACTAAGCACTAGATAGTTAAGTTATATCACAGAACTAATTGGTATATAACCAATATGTTCTGTGATATAACTTAACTTTATTTTACTTAATTACTTAACTTAAATTATGACGAGTAAAGTTAGTCATTTTAATTGTCTTTGATAGCCTAAAAATAGCGTGGCAGAGCTATGCTGCAGCTTCTAAGCACTATATTATGGTTGTAATTATTAATTAATTGGTTGTTTTATTGATAAATGTGGGTGTCTATAGGCCACAGTGTCCACTTACCATCAGGTGGACTGTGCTCATTTGTCACCCTTATTCTATATAAAAAAGAGCCAAGGCTATATATACTGATTCATTGATATTTCGATAAAACTGGCGCCATTTTCAACGCGTGCGTCCAGCGAGACGTACACTCTCATACTGAACGGCAGGCGTGTGTGTAGAGACAGCTCCGATATTGCTCCGATCGCGGTGCTTCCTAGATTGCTCCTGCGGCAGGCAGGTCAGTAGCCACCTTAACTAGAGTTTAGGCTGCTGTACATGAACGGATCAAGTAAGCCAGCATAAGGCCGGCCACATACATACGGAATTCCGTTTCGATTTCGGAATCCCGAACGTAGCAAGTCCATATAAAATCTATGACACGCCACACACGAACGGTATTTTTCCGTACGGAATTTCTCCGATTCGAGATTCCGTATGACCGCCTATGCGTTTGGAATACCGAACGGAAAAAAGCCGCTCCGAACGCAAGTCTTCCATAGATTTTGTACGAATCGCAACACACATACGTAAATTTCGTACGGAGCGCGTTCAGTGTTCGTCGCACGGCCGAAGCGAGTAGGTGTGTTTATGTATGTTTTTACATTTAATCTTATAGGTGTATAGCTTTTCGTAATCTTTCATCTTATTTTATTTAATAATTCTGGATAGATAGATCTTTTTACATAATATTGACTATATTGCAAGCTTAGGGTGATAAGGGGATGCACGCAGTAAGATTAATACAGCAACAATGGAATCGCAATTAAAAAATCGTCGTCGTTTTTCGCTGATAGAACGTCTAGACCGTCTTGACCGTCGTCTCTCTACTGACCCTAGTTATTCCGAACAGAAAAAAAAACGTATGTGTGTGATGTATTCATGGAATCCCGATTCGGGATTCCGTATGTATGTGGCCGACCTAAGAATTAAGGTGGCTACTGACCTGCCTGCCGCAGGGGCAAGCTAGGGTGTAGGAGTGGGGATGACCCTTAATTGCCTCCTTAATTGTGATGTGTGTAGGCAAGCAGGCGCAATTTTTTAAGTCGGCCCTGCGGCCTTCGATATTGCTCCGATCGCTGTGCTCCCTAGATTGTCCCTGCGGCAGGCAGGTCAGTAGCCGCTTTAAGAGCGCGATTTGTTCGTGGTGTATGCGCTTTGTGTTTCAAAGAGTATTTAGCTACAACCAAAACTATTTGTTATTTAGAATTTTATAATAGCTGTATATGTAATTTAATTCCTTTTACAATTTTGATTAATTATGATCAATGTAATTAAACCTATTGTATTACCCAAAAATCGTAGTAAGTTATAAAATACATCATATTTTAAATTAACACCAATTTTAACACTTAACTTACAATAAATATTCTTATTTTGAAAGAAAATTAATTTATTTAAGAATATTTTGACTGTGGTGGTAAAAATATTAATAATTTATGTTCCTACATCTTAAAACTAGATTAATATTGTTTCATGAAGACTGCTACAAAGCTAATTTTGTTGTTAAATATAAGTACTTACTAAGACCAAGATTAACTATATATACCTTTTTATATCAATCCTACATAATAAGTGTTTAGGCCTAAACATGGTCATTTTGAAACGCCATCCAATAGCGTTGACTCGGCACATCGCCCGATGGTGTGAGGTGAGGTAAACGCCGCCGGGGGGGGGGGGGGGGGGGCGGCGACCATGGGCTGCTTGCAGTCGCTCGACGTGCGGGCTGACAGTAGCTTGAGAGCAGCGGTGCGGTCGATTCACGTATTTTGTAGTGACCGCTGCAGCGGTTTTTGCGCGACCAGTTTTGGTTTTTGTGGTCTAGATTTTTAGTATTTGTGCGCGTTTAATTCGCTATTTAATTTGTGGTTCGTGAGGACCGCCTCAGATTAGTTTGTTTAAGTTGTACGGTCGTGACAAGAGGCTTGCATGGAATTTGACTGATTAAAGTAATTTCGTTTGAAAGTAATTGCGCCAATTATATAGTGATTGCGTGTTGATGTGAATTTTGCAATATTTAACTTGCTTGTGTGACGTGGAATCTTGCGCACGCGCCGAGTAGAGATACGCTAGGTAGATTTTGAATTTTTATTGCCGTGTAGTATTTAATATAGTACGAAGGAATTTTGTTGTTGTTTGTAACGCTGAACTTTGTGACTCGTGAAGAGATCGCGATAGTTCCCTATTTGTAATTTGGTGATAAATGAATCCGGAACCTTGAATATTGAACTTTGAACTACTGTTCGTTACTTGTGTTGGGTATCACGTGTTTGATTTTACGATGAACGTTGAATTAGTTGAGTTGAAGTTAGTTAAATGTACAATAAAGTTGATAGACTGAAATAGTGACATGAAGAAAAAAGTTGTCACTTGGTGACGCCTGCTGAAGTGATGCAGCATTGTGGGGCAGCATGGGACCAGGCCGCTGCCCGGGCACCTCAGCTGGGCCAAGTCACATAAATAAACACTACTACACACCACTTTACATGCACCTACTCCTACCTACGGCCTGACCGAGCCTTGGTGCGGTCTTAGCTTCGGATCCAGGTACGTACTATTTATTTACCTAGCTTATCACTATTGTGTCATTTCTCCATAGGCCGTTGGGCCCCGTCCCCTGCTGCTCGTCGAATCTACAGCTGTATGGGGGCCCCTGTATGGTCGACCTATGTTGGGGCAGCTAGGGGCGTGTACAATAAGTTTGGTAATTATGGTTATCCCAACCTGCCAAAAAGCTAAATAGAAAAAGAAATTTATAAATAATTTAAAATCAAAAATTTTGTATAACCTACTTCAATATAAATTATTAAGAATAACTCAAAAGCTATTGTTCGACCTTGATCAAATTCATATGGGACCACATGAGTAGCACTAGCTTTCAAAGGAAAAAAAAGAATAATCGAAATCGGTTCACCAAGAAAAAAGTTATGAGGTAACACACATAAAGAACGTACAGTCGAATTGAGTAACGTCTCCTTTTTGAAGTCGGTAGAAAAGTAATTTGTAACAAATCATTTACTCTGTTTCGTACTGCTAACACAATTTGCGTTACTCGAGTTTAAACTCGAGTTGCGTAACTCGAGTAGTGTAACTCGAGTTTAAACTCGAGTTGCGTGAATTTCAACTCGAGTTAACTCGAGTTGTAATTTTTCCGAGTTTGCACATCTATAAGATATTATAATCACAGCAGTGTGACCAGATTAAACTTTAAGAAAATACCGGGGCACCACAAAAAATACTAAAATTCTAATTTTGCTGAAAACTAGACATGCTGTCCGGATGGATACGTCAAGTAAAATAAAAGCGAAGAAAATACTATATATATATATATATATATATATATATGTACATAATAAAATAAAATATATATATATATATATATATTATATAGGTGTGTTCCGATATACAGTGTGACCACTGTAAGGAGTGACGTCAGTGCAGTATGCTGTGAACCCGTTCCTTTTTAGTTTGCTATACTGGTTATTGTTTACAACAGAACGCAGTCCAGTATACTGTCATCCCCATTTTTCGACACTGTTTACAAATTAAAATATTTATCATGTACATAGACTTCGAATATACTGGCTTATAGACCGAAATAGTTTGCAAGGTAGAAGAAAATTCCTTATGGCAAAAATGCAAGATAGAAATGGAGACCAAATCTCATGACTCTGTAACGGATTTTGAATGGAAAGGTCGGCACAAATTTGCACGCAAGAAATAAGCTTATATTTTGTAGTTTTTTAGAGTGTAATGGTGGCCACTCACGACCGTGAATGTGAAATCTTAAGTTGAAAGTTTTAACTGAAGACAACGCACGGATTTTTTCGAGCGTGCTATCAGTTAAACCGCTCAGTTGAACTGACGTACATCCAAAAACTGATTATGAATGTGAAATCTTAAGTTAAAATTTTTAACTGACGGCAACCCACGTATTTTTCCGGGTGCACCGTAATCCGTTGGCTTCAGTTCGTTTCCATTATTGGTTAGTACATACTTTCTTAGTAGCTTTTATTTATATTTTTTTTATAACATTATTTGTATGCTGTTTAGATTTTATATTATTTTATATATTTAGAGAAGTTGGTTTGACAGAGGATGGAGACCAAGGTGATTGTAATGATGTCACCTTCCTTATGGTGGACTCAGAAGGTGGGTAAAGCGTCTCAGTGATGCTACTACGTAGAACCATCGTGTTTGAACTCATTTCCAAATAGGTAAATGGAGACCTAGATGACTGTTATGATATCACCTTTATGTTGGTGCAATCCGAAGGTGAGTCTAGGATCTCAGTGATGACACTAGATAGAAGGATCGTGTTTGAACTCATTTGAAAGGGGTCATAAAGACCTTGGTGACTGTTATGACCTCACCTTTCTGCAAGTTTCCTGGAATATTTGAGATTCGAAATTCCTTCCTTGATCGCTGTGAATCTCTAAGGGTACTCCAAAACGACAGAAGACTTCATGAACTAGTTTATCTGCAACTGTTGAAGCTTCTTGATTTGGAACGGCGAAGATTTCTGGCCACTTAGTGAAGTAATCCATCACAACCATGAAATACTTGTTACCACTTTCACTTTTCGGAAACGGCCCTGCAACGTCAATGGCTATCCTCTCCCATGGTGCACCAACATTGTACAATTTCAATGCGCCTCTACTACGAATTTGAGGTCCCTTTACAGCCGCGCAACTTTTACATTTGCGGCACCAGTCCTCGACATCGTCACGACAGTGGACCCTGTAAAACCGTTCTCGGATCTTCAGTAGAGTTCGTTTAACTCCCAGGTGGCCTCCTGAACAACCACTATAGTACAGCTGTAGAACATCCGGTACTTTAGCCTTAGGGACAACCATTTGCAAATGACAACTGTCTCCCCGACCATTTTCCCATTTACGGCACAGGACTCCATCCTGAATCAGCAAGCTGTCCCATTGGGCCCAATAGCTTTTCGTGGTCGAACTCATTGCTGAGATGTCGCTCCATTTGGGCTTAGGAGCACTGGCCTTCATCCATTCCAGAATCGGCTTAATGTCCGAATCTTCCTGCTGTGCATGTTGTAGGCTGTCCTTCCACTCATTGCTGAGCTGGTCTATCCTGAGCATCCTCACAGATACCACTTCCTTATCCTCTTGCCTAGTACAATGCTTGCAATCTTCAGGGCAAGGTCTTCTTGACAATGCATCTGCATTGCCATGAGATTTCCCGCTGCGATGTTCGATCACAAAGTCGTATTCCTGCAGTAGTTCAATCCATCTCGCAACTTGTCCTTCCGGATTTTTGAACTGCAATAGCCATTTCAGTGCAGCATGGTTAGTTCGTAAGTGGAATTTCCGCCCTAGAAGATATTTGCTAAAATGCTGCAAGGACTTTATCACAGCAAGCAATTCCCGTCTTGTGACACAATAGTTCCTTTCCGGCTTTGACAACGACTTGCTGAAGTACGCTATCACAATCTCTTGATCACCATTCCGTTGAGACAACACACCGCCAAGTCCTATATCACTTGCGTCTGTGTCAACTATGAATTCCTTGCCCGCATCAGGGTACCCCAAAATAGGTGTTTTGCAAGGACGGTTCTTAAGCTTCTGGAATGCAATATCGCAACTTTCATCCCAGCAGATATGTTGCTTCTCCTCGGTTAGCTTGTGGAGAGGTTTGGCTATATCTGCAAAGTTCTTCACAAATCGCCCATAATAAGAGCACAAACCCAAAAATGCTCTAACCTGTGTCTTGTCTTTTGGGACCGGCCACTCTTTGACAGCAGCAATTTTCTCTGGATCCGAGCGGATACCTTCTTCTGACACTACATACCCCAAAAAACTAACTTGCCGTTTGAATAGTGAGCACTTCTTCGGACTCAACTTGAGGTTGGCACTCTGGATCTTCATGAGCACGCGTTCCAGGTTTTGAAGGTGTTCCTCAAACGTACGGCCTACGATGATGATGTCATCCAAGTAGACCAGACAGGCATCTCCAATTAGCCCGGTAAGTACAAGCTCCATCAACCTTTCAAACGTTGCTGGAGCATTGCACAATCCAAACGGCATGACTTTAAATTGCCACAGACCCTTTCCTGTGGAGAATGCAGTTTTCTCCTTGTCCTTAGGGTCAATTTCAACCTACCAGTAGCCACTTTTCAGGTCCAGCGTACTAAACCAATTTACGCCTGTGAGCATGTCCAGCGTGTCATCAATTCTTGGCAAGGGATAACTGTCCTTCTTCGTAACGTCGTTCAGGCGGCGGTAGGCAACACAAAACTGCATGCTGCCGTCCTTCTTCTTTACCAGCACCACAGGTGAACACCATGGACTAGATGAAGGTTCAATAACACCATCCTTCACCATTCCCTCAATCATGGTTTCCACTTCCTTTTCACGTGCACAGGCAATCTTCTTGGCCGCTGACGAATAGGCAATTCTTGTCCTGTGTTTATTTTGTGTTGAACTAAGCCAGTCTTTCCTATGTCAGCTTCGTTTGACGAGAAAACATTGGCGTACTTGAGTAACAACTTCTTCGCCTTGACCATTTCATTCGGGGAGAGAACGCTGCGACAGTCTTCTAAAAGTGTGGTCACTCTCGTTTGTCCATCCTTGCTGGGGTTCCCAGTCGATAGATATTCGCACCGACGCAACCAATCCACTTCCTCACTAATACCAACCAATGTGCCTTTTTCTATAATCTGTTCCTGATCACAAAGGTTCAACACACGTACTCCTGAGATGTCGGTGGTTCTGACCAAGGTTCGAGCCACTTTCCATGGAAGGTCATTGTCTACCCTTTCCACGAGTACACAACTATGAGCTTGCCCAGGACTCCGAGGAAGACTAACCGGCACAATCGTTTCCGATCTCGACGGAAGAACAATCTTCTTAAGGCTGTACACATTCCCTGGTAACGCCCTTTCCACGAAAAGTTCCTCTTGTCCACATTTCAAAACACCTTGCTTAACGTCGATCTCACAACAATTTTTCCTCATAAAGTCTAGGCCCAGGATGCAGTCGTCCATTATATCAGCCACGATGACATTATGCAGGTAGATCATGTTGCCTAGCTTCAACTCTATCTCCTTCTCTCCACGGACGGGTATGCGCTGACCGGTGGCTGTCACCAAATTAATGCGTTCGCGGTTGTATGCGGAGTCCCCAAGAAACTGATTTATAAGTTGGGAACTGACAACCGTGCGAGAGGCTCCAGTGTCTATGGTCAGTTTACACGGCTTTCCGTTGACCTCGCCCTTGATGATCAGGCTGTTTCCATCACGGGTTTATGTGATCGAAATCCTTGGGGCTCTTTTAACATCAGCTAGCACCCGCCAGTTTCCCTGGTGCTGCTGGGTGGTGCTGTCAGCCAAACTACCCTCTCGAGATCGATCACCTTCCCTTTTTACAGTTCGTTTAGGGCAGCTGGATCGAAGATGGCCCCTTTCCCCACAGCCGTAGCACACACACAGCCCTAGTAGCCCTTATTGCGGTCCTGAACTGTAGCTGCTGCAACCTCCCTGACGCGGTGGGAACGATGATCCTGCCGCACGGCTTTCACCTCCAGTGCATGGGTCAAGGCGTCCTTAAGCGTCTCGTGGTGCCCGAGCCTCACAGCAGCTCTAACTTCAAGGTCGCGGATGCCGTCGATGAATGTCTGCACCAGGTTCCCTACAATGAGCGCAGGTACAGACTGGTACGCTTTTCGAACCAGCTTCTCTACCTCAAGGGCCCACTGCTGCAGGTTTTCGTTACTGCGTTGCACGCGATCTTTGAGCTGCGCACGAAAGACGTGTTCCAGGCGAGCATCGCCATATCTCGCCTCCAATGCCTCAAGGAGCTGCTCGTAAGTCATTTGCTTACCGAGAGCTTCCAGAACAGTTAAGGCCTGGTCGCGTAGGCCTAGGGTGAGAGCAGTCATGGCCTGACTTTTATTCCAGCCGTTTGCTTTCATGACAGCCTCGAACTGGATTTTGTAGGCCGACCAGGAAGAACTCCCGTCGAACGTTGGCACTTTGAATCCTCGTAGCGAAGGTGTTGTAGCTACCACGGAAGCTGTAACTCCATCCCCAATTTTGAGGTCGTTCAGCGTTTTCTTCACGTCAACCATCACGTTGTCAACCCGATTGTTCACTTGATAGGCGGTTGTCATGTTGAGCAACCCTATCCTTCACCTCCCTTATCCCTCTCCCGAAGGTAGCGTGAAGGTCCTTCATGAGAAGAAGCTGTTCTTCCAACCGACGGCCTTGTTCCTCCTCTTGGCGGGCCTGTTCCTCCTGTCCGCGCTGCAGCTGCTCTTCCCACCGACGGCCCTGTTCCTCCTGTCGGCTGGCCTGTTCCTCGTGTCGGCGAGCCTGATTCTGCAACATCATTATCAGAGCACCTAAGTCAGGTGCTGCAGATGCAGGAGCTGCTGACGGGCCGGCATCCGTGGTCAGCATCTTGCCCTCCAACGTTTGCGGCGTTGCATTACCAAATCGTCTCTGGTCCGCCTCCAGCTGGCATTGACTTCGGGTACGCATACCCTCCATGTCGTCCTTTGGTAAAATCGGCATGATTTGATCCCACTTCTGACACCAATTGTTACGAGCTTGGGGTTCGAGACAATTAAAAACTGCCGATTGAATCACCAAAATTTACACTTTAATTACCCAACACTAACAATCTAAAATCACACTAATAATAAAACACAATCTCTTTAGTTCGCAGTTATTTCGCTTCGAAGTATTCTCTTGTATCGCCAATTCAATACTGCCCCGGTCGTGGTCTATACCGGCCTTATATAGGGCCTCAGATAGTTTCCAGAACCTTCTACTGTAGCGACATCTAGAATGTTCGAGTACATATCGGTCCCGAAGTTTCTGGAAGGATCTCGACTCTCCTAGTTCTGCTACTCGACACTAGAGGGCGCTAGGGTAACTAGTGTTGCCATGTACAAGACATTAATAGTGGTGCGCAACACTTTGTTTTACTAGACACTAGAGGGCGCTAGTGTAACTAGTGTTGCCATGTACAAGACATTAATAGTGGCGTGCAATAATATTATTGTTACTTAACTTTAACGTATTGCTATTGTGTGTGGGTTAACAAAGAGCCAAAGGTCCGCTATCCCTCACTTCACTATCGATTCTATTCTTGGATTTATTTTAACACATACTATCACAGCAGTTTGTCCCTGATCCCTGATCAATCGCACTCGTCTTATCAACGCACGTACCACACGCACACAGGCGCACTACGCTGTGTAGTGCATTGCATATCGATCTTGACCTTGCAAATAGCGATACGAACGTATTATGCTTTAAGCTTACACGGTACACGCATCTATTAGCATACCTTTACGTACCTTTACATACCTTTACGTGCGCATCTATTAAAAATGCTAAAGGCTAAATATATTACGATACTTTACACACACATACCAAGATAAGTAGGTAAAGTTGTAGGTATAGGTTGTGCCACGAGAGTTATGTATAAGTTATGAGCGCTGACCTTGACTTGAATACGCAGAGTAATAATTTAGGTAATTTTGTGCCTTATGCTAACGACGTAAGGTGGGCAGACACCTCGACCACTTAGCCAAGCGCTCCTATTTCATGAACAGATAAGTAGGTATATAATACCCAAATAGTTATTTACACTGGTGTGTTGTGTGGTGTAGCTCGTAAACATTTTGTAGGTAACAATAGTTATATATGTAAACAAACAATAATGAAACTTACATCAAAATGTAGTTCACAATAATAAACACTACTGGTGGCTTCGACGTGTCGAATTGTGACGTCACATCGCGATGCGGAGCAAAGCGGTCACCCTTACCGTAAAACACCTCATCAACTTTATTCATCAATATTTCAAACATTTTTAAAGGTAGAAAAAAATAAGAATACCGTTGAATTCGTAATTTTTTATACAATTTTTTGATATCCTTAACAAATTTGGGTTGCCAGACCCATTGTCTACTACATTTTATTGTCTTTTTTATATAGAAGAGGGGGACAAACGAGCATGCGACTCACCTGATGGCAAGTGTCGACCACCGCCTATTAACAAATACAACACCACGTTGCCGGCTTTTTAAAAAGGAGTGAGCTCGTTTCTTGAAGGTCTCTAAGTCGTATCGGTCCGACAGTAATGGACCACCAAATATCCCGATGATGTGGATTTGTGAAATGGGTTGATGAAATTTTGTGGCTGAAATTAATCCGAACAATACCTCTGAACATTCCCCGTGGTAAATGCTATTGAAAATGCAAAGGCATGCAATATCTGTTCGACTCCTCTTTCGTCTTCGTCGGTAGTCGACGATTCGAGTCGCTCTACGCTGGATGCGGTCTAGTGGAAAGAGCTGGTACTAGGGAGCCCCGACCCAGAGATGAGATAGTTATTCCATGTTAAGATGAACTTGCTCCTTGTAAAGTTGAAAGCAGTGTGCCCGCATAAAATAATGTCCCACTCTGTAGAGCACGCCAAGCGTTCTAGAGGCCAATTCAGCCTTCCCTTCCAAGTAACCACGAAACTGCACGTTAATTGATATGTCAATGCCGAAAATTCTGATACTGGCTGAGATAATATGGGGAGTGACCTGAAATTGAGAAGTTACGACAAAGGGGTTCTTTTTAGTGCTAATCGCGCAAACTTGTGTCTTCTGGGCATTGAACTTAATTAGATTTTGTCGCCCCAATCCGAGACCTTATCCGACAAAGATCGACTACAGACATAAGTTTGTTCCGGTACTCGGCAATGTTTTCCCGAGAAATATAGGCACTGCCGGCGTATAAAGCATCACCAATGCACGTTACTGGTTTACAACATATTATTGATAAGCAGAAGAAACAGCGTAGGTGATAGACACGTAGCCTTGTGGAACACCAGCATAAATAGGCTTGTACATGGAGCATGCACCTTTTACGAGTACTACAACTTTTTGCTCCAATCTGCAAAAAAACTGCTTCTCGGGAAGCCCATAGGGAGTACAAAAAGTCAAAAGAAGCGTTTTGTGCCGAACTCAATCGAAGGCCTTCGCTATGTCCAAACTAACAGCTAGGGTCTGGCTCTCTACCTCCGCTGATTTATGAGTCAGGTAAGCCACAAGATCAGCAGCTAAGCAACCCCGACGGAAATCGTACTGGCGGTTACTTCTCAGTTGATGATCCTAAACATCATGAGCTGGCAGTTCACAATGCTTTTCATTATTTTGGAGAAGAAGTTGGACATCGGTCTGAGCGAACGACTTTTCGGTTATTTTTGAGGGATCTGGTGCACTAAAGCTGTCTTCTTTGAGTTCGGGACTGCGCCTAGGGAGAAAGAGTTTTAAAAAAGACACGTTACGACCGGTGCCAACTAGGGAGCACACGTTTTCAGCAAAATTGGAGGAT